TGTGTTCATTACTGCAGAAAAGAGATACTAACAACAGATTATTCACGCTTCTGAAAGACATTGCCGTTCGACACAACCTGAACTTCTCACCAAACAGAGTTAGCCTTGATTTCGAATGTGCTTCCCGTAATGCCATCACTCAGACATTTCCAGCAGCAGAACTCAAAGGATGCCTATTCCACTACACAAAAGCCAGCTGGGAAAAGACGCAACAACATGGACTTCAGATTGACTACAAGAACCTTCCAGAAGTCCACTGCAGTAGCTTTGCCACTTCTTCCACTACACCAAGTTGAAGATTACTGGCTACATTCCCTAAGAGATGCCCCACAGAGAGAAGACTGCCTGAAACTCATAGATTACGTCACAGAGACACGGATTGAAGGGCGATATCCACAACCAACATGGAACCACTTTCTAACCGAAGGACCCAGAACCAATAACCACTTAGAAGGATAGCACAATAAACTAAAGAAGAGAGTAAAGACAGCACATCCTAACATCTACAAGATCATCGAGGAGTTCCAGCGACTGCAAGCAGCTACCGAGGTGAAGATAATTCAATATGCAGCAGGCGAATAGAGACGAAAGAAAGCAAAGAAGTACAGAGAAGTAGAAGAACGTCTAGCAAACCTAAAGGCTGATCTAATGAATGGGACCAAAGACTTCATCCAGTATGGAGACGCAGCATCCTACATTCTTAAACTCAGTGACTAGCTATACGGTGTTGTGACATTTATAGTGCTTAATTTGAATCATTTTAGGACTATTTATTATATCATATTGAAGCAGGGAACCTTTTGAACTTTAGTGCTTTATTTAAATGATTGATATGATAAGATTGATAGTGCTTAACTATAACATTTTGTTGCATGAAATGTATACTTGTCTGTATCAATATATATTATAAATATACATCTATAATGTTAATATGTTTGTATTGATGACATTGCAAGAAGAATACTAGTATATAGCTAAATAAACATTATTAAATTAATTAATTGACTTCCTTAATCTGTATATACAAGGTTCCATTTCGCCTTAGCTGACTTCTTCCTACCTGGTTTGGCACAAAGGCGAAATGGGAGTAAGCACTATGCACTTGTGTGTCTTTTGTACAATTTTTGGCTCTACTTTATCTGACTCTAAATTGTGAAAAGTTGCTATTCGCTTGTGTGTCTTTATAATATATATATAATATGATATCTATTTCAATGGTCATTTTGACATTTCTTATTTAATGGGGTGTATAAACTCTATGACAGTACCTTGAAAATAATGGAATATTGATAAAAGAACATTTATGAAAATATTAGTTCCAATTACCTACATAAACTTTAAAGTCATTTACATATCGTATTGTGCTTATTGGATGGCTAAGCGGATAATCCGATGTTAGAACGATAAGAGTTATTCCCCTTGTGATTTTCGGATTTTGTAAAACGCTGTCTCAATTGCAATTTAGAATGAAATGAAGAACAAAATGGAAGCTTGTACCCGTGTCTGATTGATATCCTGCATTGTCAAACCCTTTATGCACGACTTGGTGGAGAATTCAAACAGACACAGGTCCCCTAACCAGCTAAGACATGACAGATGACGTCGTACGAAGTTTGAACACACATTCTAGTACACCGAATAGTGATGGTATATCTATTCGAACTGATCAAAGCAAAATTGTATCTCGTGTGGAAGTGACACACCAATTTTGAAACCCGTGAAATAATATGATACTTCAGCTAAGACACCTCCAGTGTTCGAGAAATCCCATAGACAAGGGCCACGTGACATCAACAGATGTTGTTTATCTACAGTGAAGACTGATGTGCCGGTAGTGAACAAAGTTATATCGGCAATCAGCTGTACTCGACCATCAGCGGGTCATATTTCTATGGGACAGCGGTATCCTGCAATTTGTACCTTGCCATCTATGACTTGTCAGATTAGTTGTACTGTTCCAACTGTAGGTATATCAGTACCAGGTGTTGATGGTCATTTAAGTTCCAAATCCGTGCCAGTTGTTCAGAAGACAGTGCAGAAAACTGTGAGGCAGTTCGATGGAGATGATTATTTTGGATGGGATCGAACCCTTTCGCCATTAGGCCAACAAGATAGTATGTTGGCCACTGTCAGACCACCCAACTTGACTATTGGTGACTATTGGTGACTGTTTTCTCTACAAACAGTCCACTGGCTCAGGCCACAAACTTCCGAAGTTTTTTTACAATGTAATATTTTAATACATAATGCAGTGGAAAATTATCCTATGTGAAGTTTGTACATTATCAAATTAATTCACTGTTGAATAAAGAAAACTTCTTGAACGAGGTACAGATTTCTCAAAATATGTCCGTGGAGATATTTTAGCGATGTATATTTGATATGATCCTCATCTTTCGTCTTACAACTATGTCATATTAATTTTGATAACACATTCATTGATTCATACTATATAACTTATGTTTTATTTTTGTGTTGTCGTTTCTCTCTCACGTAAATCAACTTGGTTTTTAATTAATCCATATATAATGTTTTCTAGTGTTATTTCTTCCTAGAGAAAAGTAAATCACTCAGGGTAGAGAATTTTGTGACTCTGCGCAAAATCATTAAACAAACTGTTTACCTCAGAAGTGAAATGCATGTAATAAAATAATTTGCCCAAATTGTTATGTTCTATAATTTGTCATGGCATTTGCTTCTACTGTATCTAGAAAAACAACAAGAAAATATCAACATGTCAACATAATCATAATCCAAACTAAAAGTCAATAAAATTAGTGCAAAACATGAACAGAAGAAAGATTTACAACGAGATTCCTGAAAAAAATACAAGGAGAAAAAGATCCGGTGTTCCGAAAGAGTAAGCGTTTCAGTCTTCTTCGTTTACGACATCCGCCATGTAAACCTTGGTCAAACCAAATTAAAAATCTAGAAAATAAAATAGTTGAGTAGTATGACTAATATCATGTTAGGTGGGTATGTAAGAGAAAGTAATTGTGGATGGTTCTGTGGTAGAGTGTTTTAGACTTATATGTATACCTTCTTAAGTCAGTTTAATATATATTCTGATGATTAGAGTATGTGGTCTCCTAAATAATAAATATAAACTTGATTTATTTTACAACAATGTGAAACAAGCTTACAGCTTATGTCAATCACTCTTGTTGGCCTGAATGGAAGCTGGCGATGGGTTCTTGCTATGAGAGGCAACCGGAGTACCCGTGGAAATCCCACGTGGTCGGGCAGGTGACATTTCACGCTCATTCGGGCATCAAACCCCGACGCCTTATTCTTGTTAGAATGGCATTACAAGTAAACAGTCAACATGATGATAGATGTCATTTACGATAGCCTGAGTTTTAAAATCACAGTTGTTTTGCCATGTTGATACCAATACAGTACTACACTAGTCTGCAGATGTTGTTTGGGAATGTTTTCTCTAAATTGTAAGCGTCGCTTGCATCACCTTGATGACATTTCAGATGAGCAAAAACGTACCGTGATCACGTTCTTAGACCTTCGATCGGCCATTCTGAATTGGTGACCGAAGCCAATCCACATAGAATCCGCCGAATGTAAGACGATGATCAAGAAGAATTTATAGAGACGCATGCATTGGCACTAGACATGGACCCAATTGAGTATATGTGGGACTAATTCGGACAAAAAATAAATGCACCGAAACCTAAATGCCATTGAGGGGTGGTAGAGGTTTCCTGAGAACAAACTTTGGCGTCTGGCCAATGGTTTGAGACTACAGATTAACCATACCAGAGGTCTGGTGACTGTACCCGATATTGACTTATCAGGATTCAATCAAGCTCTCTAATAAATCTTGTTGATCACGTGTGATTTGATGATGTATATATATCAGGATTCAATCAAGCTCTCTGATAAATCTTGTTGATCACGTGTGATTTGATGATGTATATATATCAGGATTCAATCAAGCTCTCTAATAAATCTTGTTGATCACGTGTGATTTGATGATGTATATATATCAGGATTCAATCAAGCTCTCTGATAAATCTTGTTGATCACGTGATTTGATGATGTTTTTGTTAACAGGAGACATTTTAAGTCAAACTTTTCTAAACTTTGGGAATTCCTTTTTGAGCGAGTCTTTTTCTTTAAATGATAGAGTACTTCCGGCTATGTCATTTTCTTTCCCTTTTGACTGTATGTGGATTCATAAGATCTTGTAAACAACATTCCTATATATCCTGTTGTCATTGTATATTTTTAATGCAGCTGACAACATTCAGTCGAGTCTAAGACATAGGTGGTCACTAACTTATGACCAAGTGTATACTTTGTATCACGTTAATTTAAAATGCTTATGATCTTTATCTGTCTGTTGCTTTTGTTTTCTTATCAGGCTGAAAGCTAAGATACTTATTGGCCATGTCCATCGTATATGCCCACCGGAATAAGACAAAACCGCTTACCTTGCTCTTTCCTACAACCAACAAGGACAGATTTCCACCAAGCTGTATGATAAGCGCAGCAGTTCAATTGATTTCCCTGGTACATGAATATACAATGTTCATGTTCATGAATCTTTATTTAAGGGCTTGTTTCCAATATCACGATTTCGTCATCTGACAAAGTCAGAGGAAGAGTGAAGAAGATTATAAGGGCACTTCATGGTTGCCATAATTTTTCTCATTAGTAAATATTCTATTTATTTATGGGACATGCCACTAATTTCAGCACATATCCCTTGTAAACTTACTTTGAATAATAGATATATACAACGACAGCACCACTCGCACCATAGCTGGTCGATATTAGTACTAACACAGTCTATACGAGTTATATGCTTCAGCCATTGAACTGTAACGAGATATGGCAGGTACACTGTATCAGCTACCTGCACGCTCGATAAGCTGTGTACTGTGAATAACTCAATATGTCGGCTCCAGACCCGAAGGAAAGTCACATGACCTTAACCAATCAGCATCCAATTGTTACTATGGAGGCAAAATAACAACAACAAAATGGCGGCGAAGTGGTTTGGTCTGTCGATACTTTTAGATTTTATCACGGGTACGTACTGCGTCTTATTCATAACCTACAAATACACCATCAGTTTAAAAAAATAGAGACTCTTCAGGATAAATATGTTATATAGATCATAAAGACTAAGCATGGAATTTGATATAGGTTATGATACTACCGGAGTAGCTTTATCTCCATAAACACACGTACAACCTTGCTTCCTTTTGTAAACGGGTATATATATAGACGTGTGATATACGTTTAGAATCCATGTTTCCTTTCGTTATTATGATAACATGTTATCAATTCCACACGATCTTGTTTAAAACAGATATAAACGATATTGTTAAAGTTTTGCTTTGTGTTACATATGTATGTGTATTTACTTAAACGTTAATTGATCGATCTCTACAATAATATTGTCAAGTGGAACCTATTATTTATCAAACAAACAACATCACAGAAATATTAATACCTAATAGATGTACAACTATGTGTTATTACAATCATCAGACATGATGAAGTTATAACCATGCAGGCTATGTCATCCTTCCTAAAAAAATTTGGACTGGTTCCTTCAAAACCATCAGCCCTGATTTCTACGTGTACCCACTGGCGTGTTTTCCAATTAAGGTTTCACTTGCATGTGATGTAATTTGTGTAATATTTGTGTCAAAGAAGCAGATTGCCTCGAAAATTTTACCATTCGCTTGTCCGTACTGTTGCTTCATTGATTATATATATATATATATATATATATATATATATATATATATAGAATTCCTTGTACAATGTCTTCAAGATTTCATTACATTATCGTGACCGCCCTTCCCACACTCCAGAATACTTATTTTTGATTGGTGTTACTATTTTTCATTTCAAAATTTCTATTAAATCAAAAGGGTTTAATGGGAATTGGGCAACAAACACTGCCTGTACAAGCCCTCTCTCTTAGAAATCACACATGTCAAACAGTAGTAGAGTTGTTATATAGTCGTAAACATATTAGCACTGGCTAGGAACATGAAGTTGTACTTTTAAAGAAAAGTTTTGATAGACAACGACTTGAAACACACCCTACGTGTATGTATGATCAGAGTGGTATGTTAACTGCTGTAATTCTTAAAAAATAAAAAAAAATGAACTCTGCTTGTAGTATATATACATGGTTAGTTGTAGAAAAACCAAAACGTAACAGAGTAAGAATTGCATTAAGCAGCATTACACTATTAACATAATAATCAATGCTATGTTTTTGCTCTGAATCCAGTTTGACCTTTATTGTGTCCATGTCATTATGACAGCGTATCTGTGTGTTGTCCTCGAAATATAGAATTCTAATTAAGAAATATGAATTAATATATATATATAAACCCCTGACACACCCATTTGTGTGATAATTTATTTATTATATATTGTTTATTTGTCATTTTAGATATGTAATTACCATTTTCATTCATCAAAGATTTATGTGTTTTCTAGGAAGTCTAGCGAGTCGGTGTTACTATGGTTACTACTCGTACTATGCGATGTATAACAACTATTACTACCTCTCCTACTACTGTAGTAACGGTTGCTGTGGTTACTACTATGACACAAAATGTTGTAACAGGTACGTGTAATTATACGTAATCAATTTTTGTGCACATGTTTTTTTCCCATTATGTTAGTTCAGATGTAAACGAAATACGAAAAATCTGGATTGAGATCTAATCATAGGCACAGGAGCGTTTTGGAAGTTGTTTTCATCCGAGATGGCGGAGCACTAAAGGAAGTTTTTTTTTATGACATCATCTCAATGAAATATCCTACATAGGCACGATGGCAGGACATCCACGAGTTAACCAGGCCTTTCTGTCAACTTATTGAAAAGTAAACATCAAACGCAGAACATGAAGTGTTCATTTGCAGTCTGTAGGTTGACTGTAGGTGTCTCTCGACTTCCGTCCTGGTGTGACCTTGGCTGTAGGTGTCCCTCGACTCCCGTCCTTGTGTGACCTTGGCTGTAGGTGTCTCTCGACACCCGTCCTTGTGTGACCTTGGCTGTAGGTGTCTCTCGAATCTCGTTCTGGTGTGATATCGACTGTTGGTGTCTCTCGACACCCGTCCTTGTGTGACCTTGCCTGTAGGTGTCCCTCGACACCCGTCCTTATGTGACCTTGGCTTTAGGTGTCTCTCGACTCTCATTCTGGTGTGATATCGACTGCTGGTGTCTCTCAACAACCGTCCTTGTGTGACCTTGGCTGTAGGTGTCTCTTGACTCCCGTCTTTGTGTGACCTTGGCTGAAGGTGTCTCTCGACTCCCGTCCTGGTGTGACCTTGGCTGTAGGTGTCTCTCGACTCCCGTCCTGGTGTGACCTTTGCTGTAGGGATCTCTAGACTCCCGTCCTGGTGTGACCTTGGCTGTAGGTGTCTCTCGACTCTCGTTCTGGTGTGATATTGACTGTTGGTGTCTCTCGACACCCGTCCTTGTGTGACCTTGGCTTTAGGTGTCTCTCGACTCTCGTTCTGCTGGACCTTGACTGATGGTGTCTCTCAACTCTCGTCCTTGTGTGACCTTTGCTGTAGGTGTCTCTCGGCTCCCGTCCTGGTGTGAACTTGGCTGTAGGTGTATCTCGACACCCGTCCTTGTGTGAACTTGGCTGTAGGTGTCTCTCGACTCCCGTCCTGGTGTGACCTTTGCTGTAGGTGTCTCTCGACTCCCGTCCTGGTGTTACCTTGGCTGTAGGTCTCTCTCGACTCCCGTCCTTGTGTGACCCTACCTGCGAGGGCGTAAATATCTACACAAACAACATACACATAACATAATACTACTGCTACAGCATCATAACAGAAGGAATACCCTTTGTTCTAGTGCCGGGACGATAGCAGGGTCAGTGGTTGGCGCATTCGTATGTATAGCGGTGGTGGTAGGCGTGGTCGTGTGTTGTTGGATGAGCAAGAAACGGGCTAGACAAGGGGTAGTTGTACAGCAAGGTAGACCAACAACTAATGCTACAGTAGCTGTCGGTAAGTCCGTATGTACACACAGAAATTGGTCGACCGACATAATTCAAAAAGAAACAAAAAAGAAAAAATGATGTATAATCATGAAATGAAAATAATAATTACAAAAACAATCGACATCAAGCATGACACTTTTGTATTTAATTCAATATTACTCTCTGAACATATTTTGATTTTTCCCCTCAAAACTGATAATGGAATTATTTCCTGGGATCCATCAGGACATACTAGTACTATAGTTTGTCAGTATAACGTAACGCAATGACATCTGCAGCATATACACTTTGTAAGAATTCTTAAATACGAGGGCATGAGTTCGTGTTGTCTTAACGACTAGGTATTAGTATACAAAAAAAAATGTTGAAACTCTTAAAACTTAATATACTACATAAATATTACTATGGTCTTATAAACTGAAAGCTTGAACTTTGTGGCAAGTTGTGTTAAATTTGTTTTTCTTCTTTCAGTTCATTCACAGCAGCAACAATATCCGCCTCAGCCATACGGACAACAAGTGTACTACCAGCCTCCTATGCATGGTGTCCCACCCCCACAACACACCAATCCCGCCTATCCCCCACCTCCACCCATGGGTCCCGTGGGAAATGTTCACAGCTACCCCCCACCTCCCGAGTACCCTGGCCCCCAAGTCCCCCCTCCAGTTGGCACTGCTCCAATGAAACCTGCTTATATGCCACACAACTGAACATCGTCAGTTTAGAGCAGCTATTCTATGAGTCCAAGTATATATACTTGGAAACGTGTGACTAATCTAAGCCATCTAGAGTAATAGTTAAAGTAATTATTCTTTATTTTGTTAAAGTAATAATTAGCAACTTTGTAATCTGATTGGATATTAACGATAATAATTGTTTCCGCTCCCCTTTTTAACGTTTTGATTACGATTAGCGATAGTCCTTCTTTCTTATCTTGTTTATTGTTGTAGACGCGATTTATATTTTGGATTCAGTTACATTAATTTAACTCAACCTTTATCTCTACGACTTGATTTTTTCCGTCGTTTCATTTATACTTTGTAAAGAAAAGTGACCATAAGTTCTGTTGTCACTATTTCGCCAATATCCTTTATGAATTTTTATACTTCTCGCAAACTGAAATCTTGGACGTGGATAAGTTAGTTGTATGAATTATAATATCATCACACTGTGGGAAAGCGTATACTCAATTCCTTCATATCACAAAATAACAAACATCGGAAGTCACAGAAGGACAAAGTTTATCTCTTCAAAATGTTTATTTGATATCATTAAAATTCGTATAAATATTTGATTTAAAGATGAAAATTGACGATTGCTTATATAACAACATTGAAATTTACGGTGAATACCTAACATATCATGGTCCATTATGTACCGTTATGTTATGTAATTACAAAATCAATTACAATCTTAAAGGAATCATTTTATTTGATAAATATAAAATGCATTGTCATTCAAATGTATTTGGTTGTTTTCTTAAATTCCTCCGTCATATCGGACCCAAATTACTCCGTTGTCTCTCAATATCCCTTGTTGTACATGTATTATAAAATCAGAGAATACTTTACCTTTGTGAATAGTTCTGTTATATACAGGTGACTTATCACAGTACTTTCCAATGTTATGTCCAATAGCATCGCCTGTAACACGTCTGTGCTACAATGTAACATTTTTTACAAACCTTGACAAGTGTAATCTAGGGCCAAAACATGAACGTTTTTAGTTTTCGAGTTACTTCCCTTTATATACCGATCTACCGTTCTCTGTCATTAAAAAAACCTATTTTTTTAACAATATTATAAAATGATTAATCACATTACTAACCTTCTATACATGTAAGTGCTAGGGCTTTTTACATTAATGTTTTTATGACACATACTTATATTGTAACGTGGATGAAGGTTTTTTATTGTGATGTCAAGTTTCATGGCGTCATATGCCTTCTCTCTTCTCTTTTACAGAGAGAGAATATTTTCGATTTTTTGTCATTCTCTCAAATGAAATGATGCTACACGATTATTTTGCAAAAGTATCTTAGTGATATGTTTTAAACAAAATTTCCCTTTCCTTTTCATGTTATATGATGTTTGTGAATTTCGTAAATTCTATAACTCGTTCCCTACATCTCCTATAAAAGGAAACTGGTATACAGTCCTCAATATTCTAATTCTATTTATATATATATATACATTTTTATACTACTTCCAGCGTTTGTATATTCAATTAACATTCATAAAAATACATATAAGGTTTTCAGTTCACAGCATTTACCATAATTTGTCTTTGCGAGGTAAGCTTTGCTTCATCATCTATCCCTTAATATTGTGTTATAATTTTGTTAATATTGTGTTATAATTTTGACCGAACATTTTGAAACAGCACAGTACAAATGATGTATTAATTGTGTGATAACAGAACGAGAATAGCGATATGTACAAATGAAATCGATATTAGTTTGGTAGAAATTATTGCATTTAGTGAATAATGGGATTATGAAACATGCGAACACAGTAAGCCCTTGCAATTAAATTAGACATATTTCATTTGTATCTCATAGAATGTTTTGTTTTGTTTTTCAAATATCTAGTAAAATGATTTTCTCTGTCATTTTTTTGACAAAACTTATAAGAGTAAGTTTTAAAAAGCACACATTTTTTTCTTTGTTAAACCTGAACATGTACAGTTTGAGTTTTCTTTCTCTAATATACAGATATGTTACTTATACATCGTTTCTATATTGTTAATATCGTTAAATTTTAAATATGCAAATTAAATATTAATTTGTATTAAAAAGCTTGTTTTACTAAATTTTATTTGTTTGTTTTTCTTTGTTTAGTATTTTGAATCCAAACAAGAGCTAATTTTCTATTCTCATGGAAGGAGTAGCGGAAAAACCCTGTTTTTTTTTATTGGGTTATTACTAATAACCCTTCAGTCTCTGCCTCAACACTTTACCGCCGACTACAGGGAAATTCCCACCAGTCGAGGCTAAGGATCCCTGTACTCTTAACTTCTACTCAAACACCTTTTTTCATAGAATTTTCGACCCCTAAGGCCACACTGCAGGTTCATTCTATCCAAGGAAGCACATCAATTTCACATAGTCTCTACTCTTGGATGAGTCAACGGCGCCAAATCTTTGGTAAGAAGGTGTAATGCAAAACACCCTGCCCTTCAGTATCTTGCGACCCTCGCGACTGAAAGAGAACAACCACTAGCCGATTATAGTAATGCGAGCTCTCGTACTCTCAACTTCTACACCAATGGTGTTTACAAAGATATGATTACAAACGACTACTTCATTCAAGATACTATCTCCCTACAATTTAACCAGATATCATTTTGTGTCTAAGCAAGTAATTAATTCAGTTTCTTATTCGGCGTGGAAACGATGGTAAAAAGCATTTGTATCTTACCATCCACATTTTGACATTTCTTCTGGTCGCCAATTTCCAAAGTCAGTTCATGGGTTTCAACTCTTTCATTTTCTAGTATCGCTAATCTTGAAGATCTTGAAGGAATAAACCTCTTCATGTTTTTTGCGTACAATCCATTTTTCTATTTTGAGAGCCAAGTATCGACACCTCATTTTATTCGAAAACGTGTTTTATTTGTTAGTATTAAAGCTCAACACATAAGTAATTAAATCGTATCTAAAACGAAGAAAAAAAGAAAGATACAAACGATTATGATAAATATACTGTGAAAATTGCTAGCATTTTTATAGGAGTTATCTCCCTTAGACGATTTAACCTATAGAGCCATGTATAAAGTTAGATACCCGTGACTTTAACTATAGATGATTTGCTAAAGATACAACAAAACTGTATATATTATAAAGGTTAGTATTTTGCGTTATAAGGGCCAGGCAAAGATATATTCTGAAAAACATTAGGAGACATTATTCACGATAAATAATAACAAAAATATTACTTAACTATGTAAATGTATCAATATACAACAATGTTTTGGGCAGATACAGATATATGGAACATTTTGATATCTAATTAAGGTATCAGTCAATCAATCCATCCATCCATCCATCCGTCAGTCAGTCAGTCAGTCAGTCAGTCAATCTTTATTAATTTCCCCCGAGATGAAGATATTGACACAAATACAATAGAGTTATTGATAGAATTGATAAGAATTTACATACTTACATAATAAGATCAAGCAAAGTTGATAAGGGTCGCTGGGCGACGTTAGAAAGTAACGGCAACTTTTTACTTTGAATAAATCAAATAAGTTTGACAGGGCAGTGTCAGTTCTGTTTTGACTTCTGTACGGAATATAAACAATGTGTTCAATCGACTTTAATGTAAACCATTTTTTCGAAGTTCGAACTGCAGAAATGATTATTTCTGAATATGCCTTACCTGTAAAAGTCCCTAAACAGAACCATCACTCGCAGGGATCACGTGACAAGATTCATTACATCATTAATCTCGTTTAAAAATGTTGACCTATTCTGATCCCTGATAGGTTCAAGATAGTATCCTAAAGATCCTTGCAAAATCAGCCCCATAAAACCAATTGAAGAGTATCTGACACCTACTTTCTAATGTGAGGAATTTCAGTGAAATATCGATTAAGATGTCTGCCCATTGATTCGCCGTATATAATTACCGGACCAGTATACTGGGGTGTTGTATGGACACAATAGCTTATTGTTACCGGGTCATCAATTTACTTATCGTCCTTAATGCGATTTAAACTTTTCAAATGTAGTCGACATCAATGTCAAACTCTGATATAAGATGTGATGGGATGATAGCTTCTCCAATCTTCAATATTGTTAGACAGACAATAGAGACCAGTACAGGAACAGTAATACACAGCTCAGTCGAGAACAATTCACCATCATTCACAGCTAAATGAATGTTCTTCGACAATAGTCCACAGAGTTGTTTCCAATTTTCTCTACGTGACTTTACTATCATTCGTCAAAAAGATACTTTTAGCAAAACGTAACTTTTTTCCTTTACAGCAAAGCATATTTTTGCCATTTAAGATCTACTGAAGGACGGAAGAAACAATAATTTGATAAATTTTTACATGTATTCCCTAGTCTGATACAGGCCTGGATGGGTATTTAAAATATGCACAATAAATTATCTATCAGGCTGGGATTCGCCCGAAAATACTATTGTCGAAATATAAACTAGGATTTCACTCAGTTCTTAATATAGAGAGGATATTTCGGTAGTTTTCACTGCCCCAGTGAATTCATTCTCAAAAAAAAAAAAAAAAAACATCGGGTTTACCAAACATACTTATACAGCATAGTCAGTATAATATTTCACTACACCAAAGCATGTCGTGTTAACAAAAACAGACCTAATTCAGCTATATCTATGATAACACCAGTATAAACAGATACAGATAGGACAACATTGCCAACCATTAGCATGTCGTGACATCATCAAACCGTAACACACTAACACGTAATGATAAAACTAGTTCTACAACATTAATATGCTAATGTTCAAACATGTCCTATCGACTTGATGAAAGGTGAAGAATTTTTATAATGAACTTTCAATTTACCTAAGTCAATGTTTTGAAATTTTATTCGATATAAACAATATACAAACGTTAGATGTGTTTGCCTCATGTATTATCTTAACATATTAAATATATGGTGTAAGTAAACTTACTATTTAAACCGTTACAATTTTTGAACTGTCCATCCGTGTCTAGATTCGCC